AAGCATTTGGGATTGCTTTCCTTACTTTGTTTGGATCATCTTAAGTTAATGTATGAGTCGTTTTTTCTAAAGTAAAACCTCAATATTCAGGTTAAATTGCCGTGTTGGCACTTTGCGATAAATAAGTGGGTTTTGGGTCGCAGTTTGGGCACTCGGTCTCTAAAAGGTTCGCCATTACTGCACTATAGCGTATTGGTTTTGAAAAAGAATTACTCGAAACGCGGCAGCTTGCATCCGGACTATGCGTCTCTTATTTAAATGCCTTCGGACCCCCCCCACAAACCTCCATGGAGGTTCGTGGGTAGATCATGGGAGACAGTTCTCCCAAACCCCTGGTTCGTGGTTGAACCAGGATTCATTTGTAAGTTCATGCCCATACCTAATTATAGAATGAGTAGCATACTAATTGTTGCCCAAATTAGTTATATTTAAACAAGAAAATTCCTTAAAACATTGTTTATGTATACAGTATGGGTTTTTGGTTTTTTTCCGTTTTCCCTCAAATTTCTCAATTTTTCTACTGGAATTTCTCATACTTTTGTATGCTGTATATAAGGAATGGGTGGAATGCTTTGTAAGACAAGGCTTTTCTCACTTAAAAAGAGAAAATACTGCATAAAACGTTGGGGGGTGTTGTTGTTTTTTTTGTATGCCCCAAAATTCCCTAAGTTTTTCCATTGAAAAAGTCCTTAGGGTTTCTCATGGTATACATTCTGAGTGTGAAAACCTTGCTTTAAGAAGCATTTTAGTTATTTGTAAAGAAAATATGTCATAAGAGGCTTTCTTCAGCATCCCCCAAAATTTTCTAATCTTTCCATCAGAAAATTTGGGGAGGAGATTGTAAGCAAATTTTTCTGTTGTCCCCCCCCCCCAAGGCTTCTTAAAGAGGAATGCCACCATACCTATGCCTGGCTTCACCCTCTCAAGGAGTCATCTCAAGGCAGTGCCAACCAGCCAAGGTAGCAATGCCTGCTTGAAGGCAGCAGCCCTCAGTTGGGGGTCTCCTAGGTGAGCTGCCAGTGATGTAATTCCAAGGATGAGCACTGGGCTTTGGACTCAGCTGATTTCCCTTTGGGGGGAATTGACACCCCTCAGCTGAGTCATGGGCAGGGAGCAGGAACCATCCTGAGATAGCACAGAATTTTTAAAGAATGTCACTCATGGTCTGGCTTCCATATATATTTCTCCCTTGGAAAGAACAGTAGCTTAGATCAGGAGTCTCCCCAGCTGGTCTGGCTTCCATATACTCTATTTCTTCCTTGGAAAGAACAAGCTTAGATCAGGAGGCTCCCCATCATGAGCCATGGCACCTACCAGCACCTTTCCTGGTGCCCACCAAGTGTTTTTAGAAAGGGGGCAGGGCCAGGTGGGGCTTTTGCCCAGTAAGCCTTTTAATTGGCTATGCAGATTTTTAAAAACATTGCATTGGCAGCAGCTGCCACTAGGGATGGACACAAACCACATTTTTACAGAAAATTTACAATGTTCATGGTTTGTAGCTGAACCACAAAACTATACAAACAGATAAGCTGGTTCACGAACTGAACCCTTTCATGTAAGTTTGTGAGCCATTTAAAGTTTAGACCACTGTTTTCTGCTCCTTGAGAAAGTGGTGGGGAGCAGAAAGCAGGAGTTGAAATAGCTTCAAAACCAGAGGATGGGGAGCAGATTGGGAGGGTTAAATAGGGGAGTGAAGTGCTTCCCAGGGGGCATTTCACTCCCTCCTTTCTGCTGGCTGCAGCTTTCCCTGGCTAGCAAAAAAGAAGAGGTAAAGTGCCTCCCAGCAGAAGGATGGAAGTGAAATGCCCCCGGAAAGGGACTTTACCATTTCCATTCTGATGGCATTGGTTTCTTTATACTTACTCACTTTAATACTGCTTATGAGCAAAAAAAAAAAAAAAGCCAAAAGCCAACCCCCCAT